ATCTTTTCCGGAGGACTTCCTACTTACTCGCAGGAAGCCTTTCCATAGGATTGGTAAATAATCCCTCGGTCGGTAACCCTTGGTTGCTGTGGGTAATAGGATTCTGGTTACTGTCACCGTTTTGGGAGTCACTCCCACGGTTGCAATATGTACCGGAACCTAGTTGTAACATTCCTCAAACTCCATTGGGTTCGATGGTAGTGTTCTCAGGAGTTCTAGACTCTTCTGGTTATCATAGGGTGGATGTGAATGTATTGGTCTTTCATTAAGATCCTTTACTATTCATCATCATCTCTTTGCGCAAAAACGTCCCGTTACTTACGGCCCATACCAAAGATATCACATCTTTGAAGCCTAGTAACTCTCCAGGTAGTTGACGGATTCACTCCGTTATACTTCCCAGTCCTAGCTGAAGGTCCCCTCTTATATATCCTGCGAACAGGATCCGGTCGGACGGATGGCCACGACATATACAGTGTGATTCTAACACCTTCAATTCTGTAGTATAATAGTCACAGGACACAACTTAGATTGATGTGTATGATGACGTGCGGGCCCTGTAAGGGGGCCGGAGGGGGGTGTTGGAGACCTGAGATTTCGATTTCGGGAGAGATTACCCTACCTAGGGTGGTTCCTAGGTATCGGATCTCGGTATTCCTAACACCTAGGCTTTTTTTTTGTCAAGATAGATATGATACCTCCACAAAACCAAAACAAAGTCATATTGTATTTTTACACAAAGCTGCCATAATATTATAAAGAATATTCTTCACCAAGTGATGCACTTCCAGAAAACCCATACACCAAGCGTAGGTATTTTCTATATCAAGCTAGATACCCCTGTAAAATCCCACAGAGGTTGTTGCAGAATAGACACTCCCAGGCCATCCAGACAGATTCTGATTAGTACACCTTATCTGATGGAAGGAGCAGTAGAGCAGTCTCAACCCACCTATCGCAAGCCGACCGCGGGATAATTTACAGATCCTCTTGAGAGAGGCCGGTACTGAATAGAAGAACTTAGATTCCCCAGCTCGGGACCACAATAAAAACCAGTAGGGGATCTTTTTTAGGTTGCAACGGTATCTTTCAGCAAGTCAGCTACATCTCTGTGAACCCCACAACAAATGTTAAATCGTTAGGTAGGTTGCATGTAGGTGGGGTGATTTTCGCTCAAGACCTAGGTCAGTGATAGAGGGTCCTGTAGTCGTGACCCAGTTATTAACATAGCTTTAGGCGGTGCCAATCCTAATTCAACAAGCTGAATGACAAATATATAAGCTAGTAGTCTTCTCCTCATCAGCTCCTAAGTTCCCACTATACTAGAAATGCCTTTGAATATCTATGACAAGTGGCTTGGTCTAAATTGGACAGACAAACCAAAAATGGTGTAGGCCAGGCCCACAGAGAAAGCGAATGCTTATGTTAAAAAAAGTTGGACCTAGTAGGCTACCTCACTATATTCCCTATATATTCAAATTCTAACAAATTAATACTAGTCTTCATATGGTTGTGCGGGAGAAGGATGTCGACCCAGATCAGGTCCTAGAGGAATTCAATCCAAAAGACATCTGCGCATTTCTTTCCTGGAAGGCAAGAGAAATAATGGAGAAGAAGGGGCACCCCCCTTCCACGTCCACCATCCTCACATACTATAAGAGGCTTCAATCATTAGTATTGGAAATTCAATTAGAGAAACCGGAGCTTTTCACCAAGCAAGAGAAGAAACATGCAAATAAAATAGTCCTGGGTGTAAGTCTTCATATACAAATCTATACTAGGAGAGGAGTACTGACCACAGCTCTAGTTCATCATGGTACTGGAGGTAGAGGAGGGTATTATAGTGCCCCCATCAGGGGAAAAAGAAATCTGTATCCCCTCTGACTTGCATGTACTATTGCAGTATAGTTGGTGCTTTAATGCTGGAGGCCTTTTGCAAGAAAGATATTGAATTCAAACTGCTCTGCTAATGCAAATAATGTCATATACCTCCTTCAGGCCCTGTACATTGGTTGAGTCATCTGGCTATGCTAACACTAATGAATGCATTACATATAAGGTAAGCTACCATTCAAAGGGCCAGGAACCTACAACTGAAAGTATATAGGACATGCGATTGCTTGTAGTTAAGAATACTACAGATGATTCTGGAGATTCCCTAGTCCTTATTATTAGAACTTGACTACTAAAAGGAGGTAGAAACATCAGAGAACCGTGAGTATTATCTGGAAGTACACTGGTGGGCACCAGAGGTTAGCAAGAAATAGTATGGAATATTTGTTACATCCAAATCCTGATATTCTCTTACATTGTCTGATAGTCCTCTCTCATGTCCTTGCTTTTACGGATGATGCCTTTGAGAATGAGTGTATAATGCCTGCAAAGATCTTCCAGCTCAAAGTCCTAGATGAAAACAGCAGTGTTCTGACCATCTCTTGGAAGAAGTCTATTCTCGACACTCTAGTTTTTCGGAAGGTTGAACAAGGCAATTCACATGTATCCCCAAATGCTTTCCTTCTGTTACAGTAACCTATCTCTCCAATTTAGTTGCCTTGGTATAGTTGTGGGATTTATGAAAAAGCTTACTTCCTACTGTTTCTGGTGTGGTACCGTTAATAGTTTGCTTAGCCAGCAAGCAGCTACCGAAGCAGTCACAATGGCAATTAGACAAAAGATACTGAGCCATTCCAGTCCAGGTGTGATCAAATACTACATGCAGTTCCTAGTTACCGTGGATACCCAATCTCTATTTCTTGGGAAGCAATCTTGCGCTGAACTAATGGAGGCCTCAATCCAGATAGGGAGAGTGAGAGATCCCAGAGCGCTGGTAAAGCTGAGTACGGAGGAAAACAAGATGATGGAGAGTGATCACTCTCAGTTATCCATTCTGGATGCCGAGCGAGAGGAGGTGAAGAGGAAAATCCTAGTGCTTTACAGAACAATTGAAAACACTAAAGGAACTTCATTGGGGAAACACCACCGGAAGGTATCAGAGAAGATCAACAATTTGAGACAGAAAGTCAGGGCTACTAGACTTACACAAGTGTGAGACAAATATTACCAGCAATACAATTACTCAGAAATCTCAAATCAACTTAACAATAGAGAGGCTTCCCACCAAAACGATTTCAACTGCTATCCCCGATTTTAAACTAGTTCCACGTACCCGAATCGCCAGATACTTCTTAGGCTACACGGAGTTTGATATTCCTCAAGTTATAGCAAATATGGTAGAATTGTGCCGCAATTGGGTTACGGTACCTTTTTGACATATGGAAGACTCCATTTTGGACCGCCAGATAACCAAACCTGAAGGTAGACCTCTGAGCTATACACTGAGCGACGGTGTCATGACTCCTCTCCCAACAGCATCTAATATGCACGTCTCCAGATCTGCTGGGTGAATATGCCCCTTCTGCCTCAAAGACCCCAAAGTTCGCACTATGCGTGAGCTTCACATCTATGCGACACTCCGGACTACAATCCGACATATACGCACTCATATAGTCAAACTCAAATCGTCCGCAAGTGTTGATTGCCCCTACTTGAAATGTTCAATATCTCTGGAAAATGTCGACCACCTTAAGAACCATTTTGCCAAGGTCCACTGTCTTAGGTTATAGCAATAAAGGTGGACCAAGCAGGAGCATGCTGAAGACGGATTAGGAATTTAGGATTCACCAGACGAAGATGTTTCACCTTCCACAATATAGGGTGAGGATATATTTTTCGAGCATACGTGCATAGAGGGTGAAACAACATTGAGGGTCAAGCTCAAACACTTTTTTGGTAGCAGCGAGTGGTGCCCCGCGATTGCAATTTCTAAGTTTCCTTGAATTTTCCGGGTTTAGCTCTATCACCTTGTTGTCGTTCTTTATTTAGTATTTCATTTGGGCTTAGTCTCCCCCTTTGCAATTATTCCTGACGTCTATACCGTACACTAAATAATTTGTAATGGGGGACACCTTGGCGAAAAAATAAATACACGCACTCGTTCAATTCCTATTCTAGAAACTGGGAATTAAAATGCCGGGGGGGTCAACGAGCAGGGGGGGTCAGCGAACACAGGCGCTAGTCAGTGGTAGTTGTGGCATGGAGAATCGGGCTTGGCTGACACTACATGATGAAATGTTTAGTCAGAAGGATGAAAAGTGTAATTTGAATTCGGGGACTGTTGTATCTTTAGCTTGTACAATCGAGCAAGCCTTTTCATGATAGTGGTTTTCATTGTCTTACCATGTCTTTTCCAACTTCAGAGCCTGAATCACAAAATAGCTCTCCAATCGGGTCCGAATTTCCATTGCAAGTCCGTGAGCAAATGGGAATTGATCTCTTACGGCGAGGAATTGCTTCTACATCACAATCTGCTGCCAGTATAGTTGGAAGGAACATAAGTGAGTTACGAAAATATTACTCGGGCGGAAAGACTTCAACCCCGATAGGCCGAAGTCTCAGCCGAATGCCGCTCTCGCATACCATTGGTCATGGGCCTGAGGGAGTTGTGAAACTCCTTCTCGAGCGGGAAGATGTCAGCCCTGAGAAGCCAGAGAATTACTGCCGGACACCGCTCTCACATACTGTTTGGTTTAGACTTGGTCAAGTAGTAAGAATACTACTCATGTGAAAAGATGTCAACCTCGACAAGTTAGATAGCCGCGGCCAAACACCGCTCTCACATGCTGCCGCTCACGGACATGAGGATGCGGTGAAAGTGTTACTCATGTAGGAAGAAGTCAACCCCAAGAGGCAAGATTTTTGCGGCCAAACCCCTCCCTCGTTCGCTGCTTCGGATGGGGTGTGGTGAAAATACTACTGGGGCGGGAATATGCCAACCCGACAAGCGAGATACAGTCGCTCATGGGGTCGTGGCGAATATCAGGAGGTGGCGAACAGGGGGGTAGGACAAAATGCCGAACCCTAACCCAGGAGGCTAAGGCAACCGCATCTTGTTTTTAAAACATTAAAAAATCAAACGACAAGCTTTACAACTACAACCACCACCATTACTCTCATCGCCTACTCGCCACCTCCCCACTGCGCCCTCTGGATTTAATCCTTAAGGGGTGCCTACTGGTAAGTGAAACCATCTAATAATCTTAAAAAATTAATTAAAGTTAACATGAAAAAATTGCAGATTTCCGGGTACCAAGCTACTTTCCTCCCCACCAGTACGCGGAATGGATGTATTACCCATACTTTCTTCGTTGTCGGCAGGCAACATTACATTCTGTGTGGAAGTGGGAACCGTACTGCATGCTGTCGGACGCTTTCGCTGTTTGCGCTGCCTAGTAGAGGCATCTTTTTCGTCTCGCTTGCGCTTGAGTTCCGCCAAAACCTCACCGCGTTCCAATAGGCAAGCTGTGTCACTATTGAGATGCCGCCGATCAGCTTTTCCTTTTGCCGTAATTTGTCGAATCTCCTCTCTCAGGTAAGCCTTCCCTGCCTCATGCATTACTACATTAGCAGCATTTTGTTCCGCTGACCTTTTGAGTTTTGTTAATACAGATGGCAACTTAATTGATGTAGGACTATTGGATGTGATTGCGGATAGGCCCTCAACATATAGGTTGTGGATCGAGTGGGGAGTCTTGGGAGTTCTAGGCTGGAAGGTAATAAGGTCGGCGGGGGTCTGAAGACATGGAACAATAGGAGGCGATGGGTCTTGTGGCAGGAGTGTAGGTTCTGGAAGGCTGAGGGTATCTAGGATCATAGCGGGATTGTATGGGTAGATTCCGGAAGCACGAAAGCCCGCTCGAATATTGGCTTTGCTGAATGCTTTTATGTGCGCTCGTGCAAGTAGGTTTAGAAATTGATCCTTATCGACGGGAACACGAAGTTTGTTAACTTCTTGGGCGTAATAGGTACTCATCGGTGAGAAAATCGAAACATCTAATGGTTGAAGGATATGTGAAGTGTGGGCTGGCAGGCAAAGGGGAAGGATCTTGTTTGTTAAACAGTAATCGAGAAGGTCAAAATCCATATGAGATCCAAATCCGTCAAAGATGATTAGACGCCATTCATCGTATGCCCTATAAAAAAAAAAGTTATTAAAATAGTCATTGGTGTAAATTGGTAGACTGTGCTTGTAATTACTGTAAGTTGAATGGGGAATATAAATGAATTTAGCTTACCTATTTTTTGTTTCAGGCTCAAATATTTTCTCTATATATTGCAAGCATATCTTGTTATTATTGAAGCCCTTTGTCGCCTGCCCATACCAAAATTCCATCTCTTTTTTAGTTTTATGCCAACCAGCGAGCTGATTTTCACCACGGAAAATTATTAATGGCGTTAAAAAAAACCCATCGACCGCTACAGCCTCTACCACTGTACAAGACTCCCATACTCTTTGTTCCTTGTAGACGGACGAGGTTCGGACATTTCGTGTAATCCTCTTAGTAGCCCTCCCTAATCCGAGCTGATACCCTTTTTCATCTAAGTTATAGGTATTGCGTGGGGTGATAGAGTACTTTTCTGTAGCCTCCCTTAACTATAGATCTCTTAGTATTAAAAAATAAAATATCATTTTTCAGCTTACCTTCCAGAAGAAGTCATCCATAATATCCCAGCTTTCTGCATTCGCTCGAGATGTTGAAATTGTTTTAACGTAAACATATTTGATTTCTGGATGTCGGTTCAAAAACCGATCCAACCAGCATTGTCCTAGTACCCGTCCTGGTTCTCGGCGGTGTAATAATGCATGTGCAAGGGAATAGACAGTTTCCCGGTCTGCTGGAATATTGCAGTCGTCAAGAAAGTGTAAGCGATTAATTAAAGCCTTCTCTTCCGCAGGTGTTAATGCCTGTACTCGTTCTCCACTCGGTATTGGATTGTTAATACGCCGCCGTAATGTTGTCTCCGCTACCTGATATGCTCTTGCAATTTTCAAAACAACTGGCTTTTTATTTGCATCAGGGTTTACCTGGTGTTGTTGCAGCTCTGCATGATAATGACTTAAGGCCAAATCAAGTTTGTCCGCCGGGGTGTATGCTCGTGTATGATCTACCTCTGGAAGAACATCGAGCACTGCTGGATACTGAGTTGGAGTAGACATTTCGGATGAATTTGAAATCTATGGCATTCGGTCTATTCTCTTGCTCTTTTATTTTATTCTATCCACTGACTCAATTTTCTTCTTCTTCTAATGACTCTTCTATCTCGTATTATGTTCGACTTTATTTTTGACATCTTGTGATAGGACATTTTGTTAAAAAGTTGCTCCCTTTTGTCCTCTCACTACTGAACCTAATTGGGTAAACCCAAATGTGCACGGATCTGCTTGATATTCTAATTTGGCTTAGTTGTACTACCGTCCCCTGTTCGCCACCTCCTGATATTCGCCACGACCCCATGAGCGACTGTATTGACGGGCAAACACCTCTCTCGTTCGTAGCTACGTATGGTCATCAGAAGGCGGTGGTACTCCTACAATCCCACAAAGTGGTAAACCCCAGCGCTATTTGAGGAAGCTGCAGTCTTTTTTCTCTCCCCAAGTACCTTACTCCCGGAAGTCGTCCTTGGATATCCCGCCTTGTAGCCGAAGGAAATCCCATGAACCGAGCCCGGAATGCACTTATATATCACTCCGCGGGCGTGAACCTTTCAAGGGACTCGCTTCTAAAGTCGGGTGGGGGTTTGTGAATTTTTTTCTTGAGCACGATAGAGTTCGGAACCAGTTAAGGATTTTCATCCTATAATATTTGACTTTTCCTCTACAGTAGCTTACATTCTTGCCCCTTGTGTTTTTCTTTCTTTCTCCCTCTCTGCACGATAGATAAATATATAGAGTGTTGTTTAGATACAAGTGGTGTACGATATTGCAAAGATTCTCAAGACTATTGCGAGTAACTATGTAAGGACTTAATAAGATGGCTCCGTGGATAGTACGATAACATACTTAGCAGACACCAATCAATCACCACCGCACAATAGCACACCTCGCCCGATAGGTCAGAAAGATCATCTCTACCCATCTCGCTGAAAGACCACCCACCAATAACAAAGCCCTTCCTACTTACAATAAGTATCGGGGGAGTCTTTCAGCCCCCATAACTGTACAGTACAACTGGGAGACGAGACCAGTCACAATTAAGCCGAAAGACCCTCCATGAAGAAAAAAAAGAGGAAAATGAAATAGTAGCAGAAATCCGGAATTGCTTTCCGATATCATACTGCAATGCGCCCCTCCCGGTACCGGGTCCATCCAGGAAATGATTTGGAGTTCCCGTAAGACCGACCACTGGCTACTTATATATAATCAGCAGGATCACAAAACATCACTTAATAGCTAAACACCTATTTTAGAATAAACAGAGAATTTAGTAGGAGTTTTCCCAAAGAGCTTTAGGCGTAATAGAGTGAGAATCAATAACAGTTTTTCCCTTAGTCTAATCCCAATCCACCTATCCAAGGTGGATGATAACTATACGGTATACTACAGTATGAAAAAACCCAGCCTCGCAGATCTCCATCGGATCTCGGTGGCTCCATAACACTCCTCACTTCACGCAATACCACTCCTTGCATGAATCCTGAAAACATACCGCTCCTCCTGATAACCCCATGTGAGGCCCCTGACAACCTCTGCCACATTAGAACAGTTTTCCAACCCCACGCGCACGAAAACACTGTGCCAGATGAAAGCGGGCTCGGGTTGACTCGGACCTACCACAGGAATGTATGGAAAACCCGTCAAATAATAACTTGAAGGGCCTGTTTGATTCACTTGTTGCAACCGATACATGGATTGAGATTCCATGGAATTTCTGTAGACAACATCTTAAAACTGGTTCTGTTGTATGCAATGGAAGACTTGAAAAGTGGGTAGTTGGATACAAATTGTATAGTTGCACTCATATCATGTGAAAATTACCTCCCAAGTTAATTATTTTTTCCATGAGTTGCACGGACTCTTGTAGGGAGACAACAATCTATGAATTGGACAACTAAAGGTTCTTATTTTTCACAATCTATGGAGTGGGGATTATCTCAGAATTTTATGTTACAGCAGGCGCAATCCATGGAAAAAACCCATGAACCAAGTAGGCCCTGTGCGGAAAACTCCCAGAATGCCCAGCCGGACCCCCACCGCCAGCAAGAAATAAAACAACACCACGTCCCCACCCACGCCCCCGCCCCCGCCAGATCCTACCACCAGCACGACACAAAAAAACACCATCTCCACCTGCGCCCCCAGCCCCTACCAGACCCCACCGCTAGTACAACACAAAACAACACGACCATCCCCACCTGTGCCCCCGCCCCCGCCGGACCCCACCGCCAGCACAAAATAAAAAAACACCACCATCTCCACCCA